TGGGCAGATAAGATAAAAAAAATGCTTAAACTGGGAGTGGTGGTGCATACATTTAATCCCACAGTTTGGGAGGCTGAGGCAGGAGGATCCCCTTGAGTTCTCAGTGCAAGCCTGGCTACATAGTGAGTTCAAAGCTAGCCTGCACTAAATGGTGAGACCCTGTCCCACTTAAAAAAAAATTATTGAGATGATTGTATGTTTGCTAATAGTTGTAAGAGGTGATAGAGTTCTGGCACAGTCTTTACCTAGTTTTCCTCAGGCTGAGGTTTTGCAGAGCAACAGTAGGATATCACAGCCAGTGTGTAGGGACACAATCCAGAGCCGCCCATTTTATCTGTGCTTTTGTGTGTGGGCGTGTGAATAGTTACATACGGTTTTGACACCCATAGCTCTGTTCATCACAGCTGAGGGAAGAAGGATTCATCACCAGGAGCCGGATCTTGTCTTTATGACCATACCCATCCCCTCCTGACACCGGCCCTTGTTCCCAGTTCCCAGAGCCTTATCTTTTGTTTGTTACTTCAAAAATATCATGTGGATGGAATCATACAGTTTTCAACCTTTTGGATTGACTCTGCCCCCACCCCAGTTCTCCCCTGAGATTTTATTCAAGTTGTGTTTCTCCTATCAACATGGCTTTCCTTTTTGTTGCTGAGTAATATTCCATGGTTGGTTTAACCGCTGTCCTCTGTCAGTTCCGTCTGCACTGCCTCAGTCTTGGGCTGTCATGAAGAAAGCAGGCTACTGTCATGAACACACGCGTTTCTGCTCTGCATGCCCAGGTGTGCAGTTACTGGGTGGAACTGCAGTTGCATCTTTAGTTTTGTAAGAAACTGCAGGCAAATTTTGCCATTCTGATTTTTTGGGCAGGGTTTGCCACTTGCTGCTTGTTAGAATGGAGGAGGTCACACAGCTCATCTTTTTTCTTTGTTGTGGTACTGTGGAGTGAACCCAGGACTTTCACACCTAAGCTGTGTACCTATCCCTTTTTTATTTTGAGACAAGGTCTTGCCAAGTTGTTAAGGTGAGCCTCCTGCCTCAGCCTCCCAGAGTGCCAGGATTATAGCCACACTCAGGCTTGGTTTTGCCTTGTGTGAGATGGGCACGCTGTGCTGAGTGAGTGTGGTGGCGCATGCCTGGAGGCCTAGCACTGGGAGGCCGAAGCAGGAGGATCACAATTTCAAGCCCTACCTGGGCAATCTAATAAGTTCAGTGAGTCCCTGTCTCAAATCCTACAGAGGGCTCGGGTGGAGCTCAGTGTGAAGGCCCTGGATTCAATCCCCAGTACCATTAAACAAAAGAAAAACAATGGGGATGGGTTGGGATGGATGATGATCAAATGGAAGTGTTAATTAAGGTTCTGGTGAGGATAAGAGCCCACCAGGGAAGGTGTGTGGGGTCCTATCCTGCTGCCCACAACAGCCAAAGCGCTGGATGCTCACAGGGTTGGGCTTCGGTGAGAGACTGGGGACGCTGGAGGACGCGGCCTGGGGGACTTTGTCCCTGACTTAGTGCTCCCAGTCCCAGTAAGGACCTGGTGGGGATTTAGCCTGAGCCAAGATGCTGACTACGGTTACTAAGTAACTAAGTAACATCAGTAGCAGCCTGCTGAGGGGAGGAGGAAGGAAAGCCCAGGGTCCCTGTGCTCTTCCCGGTAGGGAGGGACTGGTGGAGTGGCCTTGAGCCTGATCTCTCCGCTTGGGTTTCTGTAACTCTAGGACTAAGCTCTGAGGCTTCTCCAGTGTGAGGAGAGGATGGGTGTGCCCCGCCCCTGCTCTTGTGCCTGGCGCTGTCCACCCGGGTGAGGGCCAGGTAACCGTCTCTCAGCCGACCCCCGAGGGTGCTTGTGGAGGAAGGAGAGGGCAGAAGGAACACTGGTCCTTTTTCCTCAGGTGCAAGAGGACAAAACAGTTTTATTTTCTCCCTCCCTGATGCTGACAAAAGGATTTATTTTCTCATTCTCTTTGTGGCCATCTGATCTCTTTCCTTAATCAAGCAGTCTGTTAAAGTACCTTCTCTCCCAGAACAGACAGAGGCACTTTTCAGTCTTTGTCTCGATGCTTTCTCTCCCATTCTCCTATTTTTCCATGTGAACATAAAGATTTAAGGAAATAACTTCATTTGAGATCAGTTTCTGTAAATCCTAAACTTGCTGTCCATTATTAATCTCACTTGCAGGGCCAGATGTGTCAGTTAATGACGCATCTCCCATCCCTGACTGAGACTCCCTGAGTCTCTGCCTGGCGTCCTTCTCCTGTGCTGGGATCCCGTCCAGGGCAGTGCCGGAGTGGCTGTGGTCGCCTCAGGTGCCTTTGACTGTGACGTTTCCTGGTTTTCAGTGACCTTGACTGTTCCAAGGAGGACTGGTCATCCTACAAAGCTGGACTCCCAAGAGCGATGCTCCCACACCCTGTATGGAACTCAGCTCAGAGAAAGGTCGCTTGCGTTTTTAGGAAACAAAATGCTGCTTTCTCCCCTCTGCAGAAAGTTTAGCCCTGCAGCAGAGCAGTGGGGATCCCTGGAATGAGGAGGAGAGGGCTGGGCCTGCCCAAGGCCTCAAGATCTTTTATCTGTCCCCTAACAAAGGCTTCCCTGGCAGGAAAGTCTGAGGGCAGAGGCTGGGAAAGCCTTCTGTCCCTCTGTCTGTCATCTGTCCATGTGGCTGTGATGTAAGGCGCCTGACGGGTTCGTGCCTGCTCTTCTGTTTTCCGGGGTGCTGTGTGTCACACCTGTCCTCTTTGGTGGTGACCCTGGGCTTCCTTGTGCGAGGCAGAAGCACCCCTGCCTCTCAGCTTTGCCTTCCTTTTTCCCTTGAAGTACCTCAGACCCGGGCAGTTCAGAGTCTTTGGCTGTGAGGCTGCGGGGTCTGGTACACTGTGGAGAGACGCCGGAGATTGGTGTGAGTGCTGGAAGTTTCTACATGGAGTGCAGGATTTATTTGAAGTTCTGGGTCAAGAGCATTTAATAATATTTAGCAAGGACTGTGTATAGCACAGAGTGCATGGGAGTCGTATGTAAAAAGTGCAAGAAGGTTAGTAGTGATATATGATATCAAGCGCAAGGAGTTTGATCCCCGGTACCACCAAAAAAAAAAAAAAAAAAAAAAGGTCATACTTGGGAGGCTCTGATAATGTGTCGAGCAAGAATATAGGTTAACAACACACAGCAGCAGTACGCTTTTCCATGCAGGAGGGGAACGGGATAAGGGTCAGAGCCCTTTGCGAATATGGAGGGGGCAGGTGTCCTGTCCTTAGGAATCAGGCGATTTCAGGGGTCCTGGAGCATCTTTCTCATCAGAGCCCGAGCTGCTACCCCTCTGGAGGCCTGGGAAAGTGGACAGTGAGCTGATGTGTTGCTTGCGCTATCAGAGCTCAGCGCCCGCCTGCCAGAAGCCTGGGGAGATGCTGGGGCCTGACCTTCGCTGCTGAGTGTTCTGGCCCCTGGGTCATTGGCTGGGCTGGAAACTGACTTGTGCTAAGGCCTGAATCCTGGGCTGTGGAAAGAGGACATGAAAGGAGGCAAGACAGTAAGAGGAGATCAAGTGGTAATTTTGTTGCAAGCCTTTGAAGGCAAGAAGTAAAAAGAAACCTCAGCATGTGCATGGGCGTGTCCTGGGCTCCAGTTTAACCGTGGAGACTTGGAGACCTGAACCCAGAGGCTGTGGCCCAGAGGTCGTGGGGTCCAGGCCTGTGCTGGAAGGTGCAGCCCCTTTGTCCCGGCCCTCCTCAGCGGCCATCTGGTGCCCGCCTGGGTTGTCATGTGATCCCAAGGCTGCCAGCGCTGTTTGCATAGCTGGGTGGCGGTGACATTCCATCCCACCAATGGCGGGCGTCTGTCAGCACTGTGGCTTCCCTTTGGCTCCGTGACATGCTGTCAAGTTTGTCAGTGTCCCTTGGCGGCCGGCCACTTGTCCCGGACCACGGGGAGCCTGTGTGCTCCACTGCCAGGCCTGGAGGGGAGCGGGTGGCTTGTCACTGAGGGGGACGTTCAGAGCCTTTGGTCAGTCCTGGGCAAATGCTGGTCATGTTTGTGGTCAGCTGAATCCTGGCGTCCTTCCTACAGTGACGTAGTATATATTACAGAAGAGAAAACGAAGGCACAGACATTCCAAGAACAACTTTATAATTTCCCGATGGTAAAAGTGTGCACACAGCCAGTTGACCCCGGACCATTTCCTGTAACCCTCGCTGTGCCTGACGTAGCAGAGCAAGGGCTTCAAGGAGATGAGCAGACTTTGTGTTTTCAAATTTACACCCTGCGTGTTATAGTTAAGATAGTGCAGGGTCAAAGAGGCTAGCAGGTTGGTCAGGCTGGGGTTTTAAGGAACATTTTCTACTCAGGCCCTTAATTTAGCTCCCTGGGGTGGTGAGGAGCCATTCCTGCTGAGTTGGTCGGGTTGGGACAGTTGAATGCAATTGAATACATTTTAAATTTATATTTAGAGGTGCATGTCTCCCAGGAGATTGGGATACTTCTTTTGCTCTGTCTTGGGTTGGAAAAGTGGCATAGGAAACACCGAGAATATCAGAACATGAGCATAGGAAACCCTTCTATTTAGTCAATGTGTGTTTTTTGTTTTTTGCAGTACCAGGGATCGAACTCAGGACCTTGCACTTTTGAGGCAGGTGTGGTGCCACTGGAGCTAAATCCCTGACCCCTAAACAATATTTTTGAGTAGTAACTTTGTGCTACTGACTGGCTGGGGTGCTCCCCACTGAGGAGTTTCTGTGGCATTAATTCAGCGATCGAGATCAAGGACAAGGCACCAGTGTGTGGCATAGGGAAGGCATTACAGTGTTTCGTTTTCTGTTTCCTCTGTAAGGAAAACTTCTTGATAGTTTGCCTGGCATTTATTTGATCTTTTGATATAGCTCAATTTTCTTTTTCTAAGAAATTTTTCCCATGAAGGGAAATGTACTTTTCCTGGGAGCAGTTGTTTGTTTTTCATAAAACAACATAAGATTAGGTTGTCATTAAACCATTACTATAGTTCATCTTACTTCAAGTGCAACCGGATGGAGTTTTATTTCTGGAACTTTAGGAAGCATAATGGACTTGTACCGAGTGGTAAGAATTACAGCGATCACTTTACAGGGAAATAAGGTATAATTTCCACTCTTGGTGGGAGTCGTATAAATGTCATGTGCGCTGCTAGTTTTTCAGATGAGTAATTCTCTGTCGTGATTGCTTTTCCCTGGATGATGCAGAATATAGACACTAATGGAAAATGAACGTTTCTTTAGATTAGCGAGGGCAGTGAAATGGCCTTGGAGTTGCCCTCCCTGGCTCACCGCCCAGATCCCCGGGGAGCTTCCTGCTCGCCCTGCCCACCGTGGTGTCACCCGTGACCTAGCCTGTGTGCGGTGGCCGATTCATCACCCCTCGTGTTGCCCGTACAGTGTCCGGCACCCGCTAGGTCTGGGAAAGGTGTCCGGAGAAAACTCCGTGATCGAGTGGGTGGGAAAACCAGTTTTACAGAGCAGTCCGTCCTGTGTGACCCTGTGAGCCGGGTCAGGGTCTCACCAAGCCCGAGAGTGAATTGGAGGACAGGAGGGAGACAGTGGGAGTGTCCATGAAGGAGGGAGAAACAGGTCCTGATAGTCGACAGGGGACCCGGAAGTGGGTGGCCACAGGGACTCTGTCTAGCAGTGTTTATACCAAAACAATGACTGGAGCTCAGGGCCTCTCTGAGTGGGACTAAGGTCAGTCAGCAGAGCCACCTAAGCTCACTTAGACTGCGGCAGGGCTCGAGGTGCGGAGCCAGCATCTGCAGGGGCCTCTTGGCCGCTGTCCTGCACAAGGGGTCTTCAGCAGGACAGGGCGAGAAGGGAACCGCCCTCCTGCTGGGTGGGAGCAGGGCTGTTGCAGTGGTGTCCACGGTCTTTCTCATCACACCCTGGACGCCGCGGTCCTGCTTCCCGCCAGCTCTTGCCCTCGGGCTGCTGCTTAGCTGACAAGGCCTGGGCGTCCAGCTATCTTCTGTCTAACTTGCCTGTCTATAATAATCCCGTTTATTTAAATTCGAGGCAGTGGGAGTGAACCTGACCCCAGGTCAGCAGTCTTGGGGTAGGCCGGGCAGTGGGGAAGTATGGCTGGACTAAAGGGGTGCGGTGTTCCGAGCGCTTACTCAGAACGTAAGGGGAGGATTCTGGTTTAGCTTGGCTTGAGGCTGGGACCCCCCCAAGAGCCCCAGCCCTGACAGGGGGCAGTGGGGAGTCAGGTGCACCCCAGACCCAAGCTTCGAGCTGAGGGGCAGAGTCCCAGGGAACCCGTGTGCGTGTTTACAGGTGGAGCCCTTGGGTCTCCAAGGGCCGGGTGTGCTGGCCGGGCAGGGACCCCGTCAGTGGTCCCCCGTCATTGTCAGAGTAGCCTGGGTTTCTTCTTGGCATCTCTGATTGGACAGCTGCGGGTGTAAACTTGGTTTTTCTCATAAAGCATTTTGGTTTTCACTTTTCTGGCAGTGCTAAAGGTTGGATCAAGGGCCTTGTGTTTTGGGCAAGCTCTGTACCTTCGGGCTCCTCACTCCCCAGCTTTTAGTTTAGTTTGAATTTACACAGCCGTGCATACCGGATACAGTGTGATACTTCGATACACATCTGCGAAGTGTGTGCTCAGATCAGGGCAGTCTGGTTCCTCACATATTTATCTTTTATTTTGTGGTAAGAGCATTTACAGCCCTTTCTTCTAGCTACTTTGAAAAGCCCAGTAAATGGTTGCTTACTGCGCCACCCCACCGTGCGCTGGAATGGATCGCAGAGAGCTCGCAGCACTTCTCTTTCCCGTGAAAGCTTCTCAGTCTCCTGCTCTGAAAATGATTTCTAACCCAGTGGTGATTGGAACAACAGCTCCTGGAGATACAGCTTCTGCCTAAAATAGATGCATTGAAATCTCTGCGATCTAAGGGGGCAGATTCCCTGGGACTGCGCGTGTCTCAGCCTCAACCTCCCTTCACTGTCAAGCCTTCTACGGAATTGCTTCCCTTTCTGTAACGAATTAGTAGCAGAGAAGCCATTAAGTAGACACAGCCATGTCCAGTAACGTTTGTTGCACAAAACACAGCAGCACTAAAACATCCATGTGAAACTTGCATCGTGTTCAGATTGTTCTAGTTCTCCTAAGAATGATAACAAATTCACATTTTTCAGACAACCATTAGTAGTAGAACTGACTTCAGCCTGTGCCCACTCTGGCTGCCAGACCACCCTCCCAAAGATAAGTTTCTTTTTTGTTTGTTTGTTTTGTAACACAGGATCTCATTATGTAGTTCGGGCTGGCCCCCAGCTCCCAATGATCCTCCTGCCTCAGCCTCCCGAGTGCTGGGATTATAGGCGTGTGCCACCACGCATTGCTTTCTAGGAAAAAGTTATGCTCCAAGCCCCCAAAGTCCTTCTTTCTCCCCTTTTTGTTTCTTCTTCAGGGCCTTCTCATCTATGAATTCTTTTGCTTTTCCTTATTCAAAGGACAGCAGCTTGGAATCTAGGGCATATACCAAATGTAATAAGCATAGCCAAGCGACTTAAATATAGCCACACCTAATGGATATGAATCTTGATGCCACATAGGAGGAATGTCACCGTCCTGTTTCTGGGCTGTGGTTTTCAGGCCCATCTCAGCTTTTCTGTTTGGTCACATTCTTGTAAAGACGTTTTTGGCTCTGAGGTGAGTGTGTTTCTCCCCAGTTTTCAAAATGCTTTCTTAATAACACTGTAACAAAGCTGGGCCTGTAATCCCAGCACTCTAGGGCCGAGGCAGGAGGATGGCTGTGAGTTCGACACCAGCCTGGGCTACACAGTGAGTTCCAGGTCAGTCTCAACTACATGGTGAGACCCTGTCTCAAAAAACCAAAACCAAAACCATACAAAACAAAACAAAAAAAACCACTGTAACAAAATCAGTTCTCCTGTGTTTCGGTCCACACCTCCGATTTCCTCAGCACAGGTTCCTAGAAAGAGAACAACTGGGCCACAGGGTATGAATATTTAAAAGGACTCTTGGGCCTGTTGGCAGGGTGTTCCCGGAGAGCTCAGCGGCCAGCAGCGAGGCGCCAGGTCCTTCAAGCGCCACCCCGCTCCCCTTACAAAGAGCAAGGACCCCGGACAAGGCCCGCAGCTGCCAGCCCCACCGAGCAATGGAGACCCCGCTGCAGTCTGAGAGGAGGATGTCTTTGGTTTCTTAGCCGAGTAACACATATATTGTAGAAAAACGTAAAAAAGGCAGCGACTCTTTGCAGGTCCACCTTTGAGGAGCTGTGAGAACCGTGTTGGGTTGCTTTACTTTGCTGTGTTTTGATAACTAGAATTTTAAAATATGGATTTAAAAAATATTAAGGATGGTAAACCTTTGTAGCTGTTTGTCCTTTAACTTTTGGTCTCCTACAGCTCCTTCCTCCAAATTACTGCTTTTGATATTTTTGGATACATAAGTGCTTTAAAAATTTACGTGTAAATCTGCAAACACTTTCCTTAATGATTTATTTTCTTGCTTTTAGAAAAACTTTGAAGTTATGCTCTATTCAGGGGTGAAATAAATAGTAATTGTGTATTTTTCTACCTCTGAATGTTAAAATGTTTTTAGCTCTTTGATTTCCACAGTGTTTGCTTTGCGGATTGCAGGGAGGCAGAACCCTGCTCTGTCCTTCCCGTAGCTGGCTGTGCTCTTGGAAAAGTGGCCCCGGGCCCACCCCGGAGAGCTCTGGGCAGCCACCACCCACCCTGTGGGAAGCTGGCCATGGGAGGAGAGCTGAATGCGGCAGAGATGGGGCCCAGTACAAATGGGGAGTGCCGTGATGCCAGGTGAAAAAGTTAAGATTTGTAGTCACTAAGCATTTCTGGTTTCCTTAAAATGAACGTTTTAGCTAAGTGTCATGGTGCACCCGTATAACCTCAGCACTTGGGAAGCTGAGGCAGAAGGATCACCTCGAGTTTGAGGCCAGCCAGAGCTACATAGTGAGTTCAAGTTAAGGACAGCCTGAACTACACAGTGAGACCCTGTGTAAGAAACAAAAAACTCCAGAACTTTTTATTAGGATTCTGTTGGTTGTAAGCAATGGAAATTCCATCTCAAATAGGTTTAATTTAAGCAAAAACAAGAAAAAATATCTAAAGAAGAAATTGCATGGGCCGGGTTAACGAGATCTTCAGAGGTTGTGTTCACGGCGGGATGGCTCTGTCCTGGGGCTCCCCGTCCCTGGACCCCTTGGGGTTCCTAGTAGGGAGCCACACCCTGGGTCTGAGCTGGCAGCGGAGAGCTGTGTGGAAATTCTCTACGGGTTGGAGACCACTTGATGGACCTGGGTCACCTTTGCCCCAGGAACAGAGCCCCGCCTGTTGCTGGAGGGGTCCCAGGCCACCCCAGGGCAGTCACACGCTATCCCCTGAGAGTGGGGGACCCACTGGGACCCCCAGGCTGAGAGCTGGGTAGGGGAAGAGTTCCCAAGGGATCGTGGAGGTGGAGTAAGGTTAGGCTGGGCTGTGCTGCGGGGTGCTCAGCAGCTGCACCACTGCAGTCCCCTCGCAGCACTGTCCCTGTCACTGAGCACGCCTGCTTTGGAAGTGATGCCTGTCGCTTCCGCCCTCTTGCGAGTGCCTGGGCTGGGCGGCAGAGGGAGGCCTGCCCCTTCCTCCTGTTCTCCTCCGCCTGGCTGTGCCCAGGGGCCAAGGACAGCCGAGCCTTGGGAGCGTCCCCTCCGTTTGACTCAGGCCCCTGCTGGGGGACAGACCTGCGTTAGGGGCCTGCCACTCCGCGGCCTTCACGGGCGAAGTGTTTCCTCAGCTGGGGGAGACGCCAGAGCTCCATGCCGGTCGCTGACAGAGGATTTAGGCATGGAATGGCCTTGTGAGGTGATCTTTAAAAAGCAAATCAAATTGGTGCAGCTGCTGTGAAAGACAGTGTGGCAGTTCCTTAAAAAATTAAAAATAGGGTCACTGTGTGACTCAGCAGCTCCATTCTGAGAGTGTGACCAGGAGGACCGAAAGCAGAGACTTGAACACACAGCCGTGCTCACAGCAGTGCTGCTCAGGTGGCCAAGGTGGAAGCAACCCGAGAACCGTTGCTGGCTGTGGCGTATTCACATGTGGAATATTACACAGCCTCTAAAAAGGGGGGAATGCTGACCTGTGCTTCACCACGGATGCCTAAGGACAGATGTGGTGTGATCCCACCTCTGTGGTAGCGCTAGAGTGTGAATGTACTTAGTGTCACTGAATGTTGGAAATACTGGGGATGGTAAATTCATATTACACGTTTTGCCACAATAAAAGAAATCTCCAGCCGGGCCTGGTGGTGTATGCATATGATTCCAGGACTCAGGAGGCTGAGGCAGGAGGATTGACAACAGGTCTAGGTCAGCCTCAACCACCTAGTGAGACCCTGTCTCAAACAAACAAACAAACCAACCAACCAGCCAACCAGTTAATGTCTCCAAAGTTCAGCTACACCAGAGAGTCTGCGCATTTCCCACCGTGCTGTGGGAGGGTGCCCGGTGTCCCTGAGGCACTGGCCTGGCTCCAGGTGGCTTCTGGCCCTGTGTTCTGGCCAGAACTGGCTCCCTTCCTTCGCCCCGACCTCCATTCTGCCTTCGCCCTCCCTGTGCACACAAGGAGCTCTCTGCTCTCAGCCGGCTCCCGCCCCTTCTCTGCGGAAGCACAGGACTGATGCCAGGCCCAGGCTTCATCCTCCTCTGAGGTTTGGACCCCTCCTCTGTGCCTGGCGTGTGGCTTTCCTTCCTCCTTGCACGCACTCACGTTTGCTGACCTCTTTTCGGTCGTGGTTTCTGGGGCTCCCTTCCTGTTTCCTCTCTGGAGGGCCATGAAGTCAGCCTCCATCCTAGGACACTCAGGAGGTGGCCTTTGTGTGCCTGCGGTGCCTGGGGCTGCGCCATGCCCCGGGGATGCCAGGGATTTTCCTTGAGGCTCTGCACAGCCTTCCCCTCAGTAGAAAGGCAGGAAGAAGTAGACTTTCTGGCCAGCGCCGTTTGTTTCTAAATATAAACTTCTGTTGGAGCGGCTGCCGGGGCTTCCCTCGCAAAGGTCATCTGTGAAAGCAGAGCTTGGGTCACTCAGCGAGCGATGCCGTCATCGGGACCAGGCTGCGAGGTCCCATGCAGAAAGTAACCTGACAGCCAGGAGAAGATATTTGGTGTCAGATGTGGAGGGGCTGGGGCCAGGCCGTCCCTTCCCTGGGACTGGTTCTTCCTGGTTGGCCTCAAGTTTCTTAAATGTTATTGTTTACTGTCTTCAGGTTGGTGTTGTCTGCACAAGAAAAGCAAGAAACAACAAACCAAGGTTGTTGTTTCTGCTGGGGACCTGACTGGGGCTGTCTGTTCGACAGCTGCACCTCCCGGTGACTCCTGAGAGCGGAAGTGCATACTGTGGCTCTTCACAGACCGAAGGGAGCAGAAGAAAAGGGGCTCAGACATGATGGGCTGGCTCCATGACTGATTGAGACAGGGTATCCGTGTGTAGTCCAGGCTGGCCTTGAACTTGCAGCAGCCCTCCTGTCTCAGCCTCCTGCGTGCTGGATTTGCAGGTGTGCACCACTACACCAGGCTCCATTTCATTTTAGGGGGAAAAAAAATGCAGGGGAGATTCCTATGATTCTGCAGAAGGGAGTTAAGAGGAGCACAGCCTCTGGGGCTGAATCTCCCAGGTCCAGGCTCCAGTCTTGCCCTTTCGTGGCTGTGTTACCTTTCAGCAATTTGTGTCATTTTTGTGCTCCCTGTGTGCTTGAATATGGAGTAGAGTGACACTGCCACCAAGGTTGTTGAGGGAATTAAATGAGGTAATGTGACGTCTCTGTACACAGTAGGTGCTTTTTAAATAGCTGTTTGCTGGGCACAGGGGTATGCACTTCATGTCTCAGCTAACCTGGAGGCTGAGGCAGGAGGATCTCTAGCTCCAGCCTGACCTGGGCAATTTAGTGACTAGCGAGACCCTGTCTCAAAAAAAGAAGTAAAAAAAAGTTGAGGATGTAGCTCAGTGCAAAGCCCCGAGTTTAATCCTCAGTACTGTAAGAAAAGCAAAACAAAACTCCCAGATGCCAGCTATTCTGAAAGAGGCAGGTGGTGCACTTTGTAGCCTGGAGCAGTGTAAACACGGGTTGATTTTTGCCTGCATATTAGTTCTGCTGGCCCTGCCCCTGCCAAGTTAGTCGCCTTCAGGATGTTTCTACTTATGATTTATTTCAAGCAAATCTTGATGCACAGACTGCAAAAGATGAAAGAATATAACCTTACATATATCCTTACAGCAGAACAGGGCAGTCTGTGTTTTGTCACAAGAGTAATGCATGAGGTTCTTCCCCTTAAGAGTCCGCCTGTGCAGTGACTGCCTGCATGAGAACATTGTGTTTCCTTCCACGCAGTTGCAGGAGCCCCTTGTGCTGGGCCCTTCCTGTCATCTCCCGACCGGAGGACGGCTCTTCTCAGGTCGTCTCAGTGGCTTCTCTAACTGACTTGTCTTCCTCTGTGGTCTTGCTGCTGCTTTTACTGCGGTCCCTCTGGTGGGACGTGAGCAGGTGCCCACCACCGCCACGTTCTGCGGAGGCAGCGAGCAGCTGCAGTGATGGCGTCTTCTGTGCTTCTGCGGCTTCTCCAGAGCGGCGCCACTGGCGGGGCTGAGTGGTCACACTGTGGCAGCCTCTTCGCGTCTCCTGTCGTGCTCCTGCTTTCTTAGTCTTTAAAAAGTCACAGTGGCAGTAGTTGATGGGTAGGATGAGTTAATTCCTAGGATGATAAAAATCGAATATTCCGATACATTGGAAAATAAGATCCTAACATTCTCAGTTGCATCTTAGATTTTTTTTCTCTGCTGGGAATTGAACCCAGGCCCTTCGCTTGCTATGCACGCGCTCTGCCTCTGAGCGACACCCTCAGCCCTGCATCTTAGATGTTTAACAGCATCCACTGAACTCATGGAAATAGTAAGGTAGGGGGAATTTTTGGAAAACCTCTGGGAAGGAATATGAGTCGTGAAATAGCAGTCCCTACAAATAGAACAGTTACAAAAAGAAACTCAGAGCTTACATAGGATCCAGTGGACCCTGATGGTTTAGTAAACAAGCTGAAGGAAATAATCTGAAAAGCTGGCAAGGACAGGTACACAGGGTTACCCATCTTTTCATTAAGTGGGAAAAACCTCAGTGTGTACCATAGAATAATTAGGTTTATTCCGGCATGGCAGTTTGTTAGTCACTGGGACAGAACACCCGGGACTCACAGCTTACAGGTGGAGAGGTTTATGTGGCTCGTGGTTTCTGAGAGCTCAGTCCACGGCTGGCAGGTGCCAAGGCAGAAGTGTCACGGCAGAAGGGTGTGACGGAGAAGGCTGCTCAGCCTGTGGCCCTCACGAAGCAGAGAGGATGAGCAGGGACAGGACCCGCCCTTCGCATCACCCCTCAGACCCACGTCTAACCAGGCTCGTGTCCGGAGCGCCCACCTGTGAGTCCCTCAGTGGGTTTGGGTAGCTCCGTGGTGCAGTTGCCTCTGAAAAGCCCACTGTGGGCACACAAGCCTCGGGGACTCGTTGCATGTGAACTGTAACAGTGCTGTACCACAGTCCTGGGTAACAGCTTCACGTTGGTACTCTCAGAAAGTCTGTGAGAATAGGAGCACAGGGTTACCTTGACTATTAAATGAGAGGGCATCATACAGACCCGTGTGTGTGAGGACAACTATGTAAACTGCATAAAGGTGTTGGTAGAAAATACATAGTTTAGTAGTAGTTGTTTTTTCCTGGGTGGTGACATATTTAAGTGGCATTATTTTATCTTCTAAAATCTGTAACTGGAACGCATTTTTTGTTAATGCACACTTGCAGTGCGGAATGATTACGTTCGCCCGAAGGAGTTGGCTCACGTGCACAGCGCATCTCCGTTCCTTTTCTGTCCCTCCCTCCCTTCTCTTGGCCCCATGCCCCCTTTTCTGTGCTTGTTCACAGTCCGCAGTGATCATCATGGTCCTCACGGACACTCTCCAGCTCCCTTTTGGAAAAATCCAGTTCCCTTCCTCCTCGCGTCTTGGTCTCCTTCTTTATGCAAAAGATCTGTCTTAGGGTGCATTTTTTAACTGGAGCAGATTTTGTGACGTTGATACAGAGACTTCCAGTGACAGTTTCATTCAGATGGACTTAGCGAGGGCGGTGCACCCACTCGCAGACGCCGGGTGGTTTTGAGTGTGTTCACAGGAGGTTCTCTCCTCGCCATCACCACAGTGTCAATTAAAGCTGAAAAAAAAAATCCCAATAATGAATGTAACTGTACTGTATACCTAAAATGTACCAATAAACTCAATAAAAAGAAAGAAAAAAAAGAGTCTTTGTCACCCCCCACCCTGGAGAAACTCGCTGCCCTCCTAGCCCGTCTCCCTGTCCCTGTGGATCTGTCTGCGGTGGACCGTGCATGTGGATGCAGCTTGTGGCTTGTGCCCTGCGAGAGTGACCCCTGCTGCGAGCAGTTTACCAGGAGAAGCACACGGCTCTTGGGCCCTGGCTTTACTCGTTTAGTTGAGAAACCGCACCGACCCGTACTTATGATGTTCCAAATGCAGTGTTTTCTCTCCTCCTAGAACTGGTTCCTTCGCTTATGAGCAACCTGCTGAACCCAGACGCCATTTTCTCCAACAATGAGATGAGCCTCTCGGACATCGAGATCTACGGCTTCGACTACGATTACACGCTGGTGTTCTACTCAAAGCACCTGCACACGCTGATCTTCAACGCGGCCCGGGACCTGCTCATCAACGAGCACCGGGTAGGGTCAGGGCCTCCACGGGCTTCGCTCCCTTCTCCTGTCGATGTGTACAGAACATGCAGCCTGGCCTGGCTGCGCCCCACGCTGGCTCGGAGAAGCCATTTAGAAAATCGCCGCTGGGTGGATGGGTCTGGTTTCATTGCAGATTTCCAAGGGACACTCATCTGGAATTGTTGTTTGAAAAGATCTTGGCCTTTTTTGTCTTTTATTCTCTTAAATTTATCTCTCGGGCAAAACAGTGCCCCGAGGTGCACACTGCGGGGGCGGGGGCAGCAGCAGAGCTGGGCCAGGCTCGCGACAGCTTGTGACTTCTGGCCAGGGCCCCACCCAGGCTGAGACACCTCCACCAGGGCTGCCCGGCTCGCTCGCTCTCACAGAGCCATTTCAGTGTCTTCCTGGGCCGAGCATCGTTGAGTTTTTAACGAGGAAGGGAAAGCCCTGCGCGTCTTTGCTGGAGCGGCCCAGGCACTCAGGGCAGCCGCACTGCCATCTCCAGCGCCGCCTCCTTTGTCCAGCTTCCCCTCGCTCCCTTTCCTGTTTTCTCCATCTTGACTCGGGCCCACTTGGAGCCAGGCTGGGAGTGGAAGCAGCAGGGCGACCCTGGTGGGTGCCGGTGTTACCATGGAGACCAGCAGCCGGGGGCCTGGTCGGCCGGGGAGTTGGGGTGTGCAGAAGTGGGTCGGAGTGGCTGTTGCTGCGAGGGAGCTGGGGGCACGGCGCAGAGCATGGGGACCCTGCCGAGGTGGGGGTGTGGTACTCGCCCGGTGGCTCCGGTCCTCTCCCCGCCCTGGCCGCCCGCCCTCCTGTGGTCTGGTCTGTCGTCTCTTCCGGGTAGCCCTGAGCCCCCTGTTCCTTGGAGCTGAGACCCAAGGGAGGGGCCTCCCTGGTTCTGGACGCTGTGCTTTTATCAGTGCAGCCTGTTTCCGTGAGTTTCAGATCCTGACCATTTGATTCAGGATGTTTTCTGATCCTCGGCTTTTTTTTTTTGAAGACGGGATCTTGCTGTGATGCCCGGCTGAGCCTGAACGTGTGCTCCTCCTGCCTCAGTCTCCGAACTGGCTGTGATCACATGTGTGCCTACCGCGCCCAGCCCTGACCCTCCACTTTTGTCTGTCCTGAGGTTTGAGCAACTCTGTTTTCTAGATCCCAAATGCAGAAATGGCAGTTGGCAAAAACGGCCTGTTCTCCTGCCGCCGAGGAAGAGACACCGGGGCGTCTCCCTGGCCTCCCTGCTGCCGCCATGCACTGGGCCACGGCATTTTCTGTGATGTGGATGTGGCCTCTGAGGTCAGGCCGCTGCCCCACAGCCCCGTGCTCTGCTTGCCCAGGTGGGAAGTGTGGTTCGGGAGCCGACGTGGGGCAAACCCTGCCCGGTCCGTCCCTTCCCACGTCATCTCGATGGAGCCTCCCAGGTTCTCTGGTCCTCAGTACCCCTGTGTAATGGGTCCAGCAAGTGCTTTCCTCAGCCCAGTGTTGCCTGTTGCGATGATCGTTTCTTTTTTCTTTTTGGTACCAGGGATTGAACTCAGGCCACCGAACCGCTGAGCTCAATCCCCGGCCCTTGATGGTCGTTCCTAACTGCACGGCGCCTGCCCTGCTTTACCTGTGAGGAAGCAGCCTCAGCCAGAGGCCGGTGGGCAGAGGACTTGGACCCTGACCGGCCTGCTTACGCTCAGCTAATAACACTTTCCTACCCTGTGGGTGTTTGTTCAGATGAAGATAAAATATTCATGAGCATATAAAACACTTATGAGCATAAAGCATTTATGAAATTCGGGGGCGGGAGAGATGGAAGAGACGGATATAACAGGCGGAGGCACGACTGAGAAGCTTGTGGAGTGGAGAGCACCAAGTTCTGTTTGCGTCCATTTGAGCCTGGCTGAAGGAATTGTTAGATCCCAGTTCTGTTGGGCGAATCCACGGGGCTGATCATGGTTATGCAGATTTTTCTCTTGCTCTCATTAAACGAAATAATCCTTCCAAGAAGCATCGGGTTGGGTTCCATTCTTCCTGCCAAGTACAGTGTGTTTCGTGTGCCTGTGGAACGGAGAGACATTTGTTTCTGAGACACAGTCACAGAACAGGAAGTCTGCAATTTAGAGTCTTTCCAAAAAGCACACATCAGAAGTCCCAGCTCTTTATAATTACCCTTTTAAAAAACCAGAACAAATTTTGATTAAAATAGCAATTCAAATATATCGGGTTGTAACTGCATAACAATCTATACTTTCACTTCACCCGTCCACCAGGAGGGGAGAGGAGCTGCCTGTTGGGCTTGGGCTTCCTCTCCCGAGCTTCAGGCACTCGGCGCTGGGCACCTGTGGTCACCTGCTTGTCACCTCAAAGCTTGACCCTCCCACCCCTGTAAAACACACGGTCAGCTGTAGATTGTCCAAGGCTGAGGCCGGGCGTGGTGGCACACACCTGTAATCCCAGCACTTGGGAGGCTGAGGCAGGAGGATTATCATGGACTCCAGTCCAGGCTGGACTATGCAGCAAGACCCTGTCTCAATCAAAACAGACGAACAAAGATCGTTCAAGGCTCTGGCAAAGCTGCAGAGCTGACGGGAGTTCCTGCACTGCCCCCCAGGCCCGGCTCCTCCTGATGCTGGTGTTGGCAGCGCTGTGCACCTGGGTCACAGGAAAGGGTCAGCACGGCATCGTCCCACACGCTCTCCTGACTTACCGCTCGGACCCTGTGCCCTTTTCGCTCCAGGGTTGCATTCATGATCTTGAGTTGCAGTAGTTTTCTCTCCCCGAAGGCTCCTGTAGCTTTGATGGTTTCCGTGAGTCTCCGATTTTGGTGGCTGTGGCAGTGCTAAAGAGTGCTAGTCCGGCTCGTGGTAGGAAGTGCCTCTCAGGGTTTTGTTTGTGGTGATCCTCCGGCCTCGGCCTCCTGAGTGCTGAGATCACAGGTGTGCACCACTGCGCCTGGCTCGTACTGTGAGTTTTAAACTCATGGAGCCTCTGAGCTGGCTGGGGGTGTGAGTCCAGCCTGACGATGTGGGGCTGGGTGACTCCAGATGGTTCAAGTTCCAGCCCAGCCACTGCACAGCTTTGTGTTTCTGGGCGAGCTCTACGCTCTGTGCCTCAGATAACTTGGCGGTGGAGAAGTGAGCTGCCCTGCCTGCTGTGCCGCATGCTGGTGCAGGGAGGGGTAAACTGAGTCACAGAGCAGGTCTGACCTGGTGAGCCAAGGCCGGTGCTCAGCAGAGGACGCTTCGAGGCTCGGCTCCCAGCAGAGCCGTGACCCGGGGGTGGGGCTGAGCGTGGGTCGTGGCCCTTTGTCCACGAAGATGCAGAACGCTCGTGGTGAGAACTCTCAGAGCCACCCATGGCTGGAAGTGGCCTCCTGGACACCGTGGCACGCACGGCGGGTGTGGGGTGAATGAGCCCCAGAGTGACGTTCGCATCAGTGCTGCCTGCAGCTCGACTCGAAGGCCTGCCGCGTGCGTTATGCCCGGTGGGACTGGAGATGTCGCCTGGCCATGAGGAGGGAGGCGCTTCCTGGGGTCTGGATGGAGCCTGGGTTGTGGCTTCTGTTTCTGGGGCTGACCCCTGCCTGGGCTTGGGGTTGGCTCTTTTGACCCCAGCACAGAGGGGCAGGGTGGCCCAGGCCGGATCCGTGCACTGCTGATGTCCCCTGGGCAGGGCCACCGGGCAGGAGACACGGGAGCTGGGTGGCCTTGGTGGGGGCTTTGCTCCCAGATGGCCCCTCCCTGGTGGGTGACCCAGGGAGTCCCTGCTGTCCCTGTGTGGACTCCGGGCCGTGGGTGATGGGGAGATGGGGTCAGGCTGTGCCCCCGTAACAGGAAATCCAGCTCCTGCTCCTCACAGACAAGAGGCCGGGTGGGGCCTAGGGAGACATGGGTGGGGTTCCGGGTCCTAGAGGTCTGGGAGCTGGGGCAGAGGGAGGACGTGGGGAGGGACGGACAGCACCTCGCAGCATGAGGCCCTGTGCCCTGAGATGATGGCCCCCGTGGGGGACGGGCTGGGTTCTGGCCCCGAGCCACCTCGCCCGGTGCGTCTGCTCCCTGGGTGCCCCATTACTGCCCGGTTCTCTTCTTCCCAGTACCCCGCAGAAATCAGGAAGTACGAGTACGACCCCAGCTTCGCCATTCGCGGGCTCCACTACGACGTGCACCGGGTAGGTTCCCGCCCGCGCCGGCCCAGCGTGAGTGAGGGGAGTGAGTGACGGCAGGTGCCCTTCTTTGCCGGACAGGGAGGTGACGTGCTGCTAAATGACCACGTTTTCTAGATGGGTTCGCAGACTGAGCCTTGGAAAAGCAGGGGGACGTGTGCCTCTTGGACACGACTCTTCCTTTGCAGTTGTACTTTGTGGCTGGAAGAAGTAGTTGCCAGATCTAGTTTTCCTTTGCTGACCAGCTGTTTCCTCGGAAAGCACTTTAAGCTGGGTGCGGTGGTGCCTGCCTGCAATCCCAGAACTCTGGGAGGCTGAGGCAGGAGGACCACAGGTTCCATCCCAGCCCAAGCAATTTAGCCATTTAGTAAACCCTGTCTCAGAAAATACAGAGTGAGCCGGGATGCGGCTTGGGGCAAGGCCCTTTGATCCCTAGCTCTGTAGAAAACAAAGAAAAATCACTTTAAATAGCAGGCAAGGCTTTCAGAAAGTGTGGTTCTGCGCCAGGCAACCCAGCACTGATACGATTTATGACATGGGGCTGCAGATTGCTGTACGCTGTTCACACGTGCGTGTGGTTGTATTTTAAAGGCAGTGTTGATGAAGATCGATGCTTTTCATTACATCCAGCTGGGAACCGTGTACAGGTGAGAGGAAGACGCAGCTGGGGGAAGGTGCTCGGCCGGGGGAGCGCCCCCGGAGGGCGCTGGGTGGGTCGGCTGCCAGGGTGAGGGAGCAGGGTGGGGGCAGTGCTAGCCCAGCTCCGCCCGCCCCCGCGCCCCCTGGAGTCCCACGGGCTTCGGTCCTGCGCCCGGTAGGAAGCAGTGTAGCAGAAAAGGGAGCAGGAGCATGAGTTGTTCACAGCCCCTAGCGCCGGGCAGGGCGTCTGCCGCAGGCGTGGTTGGGTGAGTGAGTCTCCCCACTAGGGTTTGCACGTGCGTCTCACTTAGCCAGAAGTGTCTGTCGCTTTTAAAACTGAGGCTTTTGCCTCTCAAGTGTTCTAACTTGGGAGTGATTTCTGTTTAGGGTCCTTCACATATCTCAACAAAGCTGTGCCTCACCTAGTTTAGATTCTTCTCTCACAAACTGTTAAAATTACTTTTCATCCAGGCGTGGCGGTGCCTGCCTATAATTCCAGCACTCAGGAGGCTGAGGCAGGAGAATCTGCAAGATTGAGGCCAGCCTGGCCTACTCCATAGTGAGACCTTGTCTCTCAAAACAACACACAGTTACTTATTTTTCTTTGAAGTAGAGCGTGAATGAAGCTCGAAACAGTAGTGAAAGCACGGCAGGGACAGTACCAGACCGCCGGCCCCACCTCAGACCTTTGGTGTCCCCTCGCCTCCCTTCCCCGTGTCACCTGCAGAGAGGTAGCACACGGTGCCTCTGTCTCCTGCTTCTCCGGCCCGATGCTGCCCTGCTGTCCCTGCTGTGACAGCTGAGGACTTGTTCCCCTGTGCGCTGCCCTCCGACCCTCGTTTGGCCGCGCTGAGAACCCTTGTTCACAGCCACTCCTCAGGCCTCGCTGCCAACACTGCCAGGTGCCCGAGCCCATTTCCTCCCTTGCGCAGTTTGGCTTTCCTCGCCCTTAATAATCTGTGTGTGTTCGCTTGGTTTCCTGAAGTGCCTCAGTCAGTTCCGCGTTGCCGGGACGCAGTGCCGACAGCCAGACTCCAGGCAGGGAGGGTTTCTCCGGCTCAGTGTGTAGAGGCCTCAGTCAGGCTGCAGTCTGCTGTCTCCAAGGCGGGGTGGCCTGAGTGGAGCGGGGAGTCGGACCCTCCCAGCCCCCTGACCTCCTCGGAGTGAGCCGCACCTCCCAGCATCACAGATCCGGGCCCCTCACCAAGGCGTAGCTACGAGGGCGTGAGGCATGGGGTGGGGCATCGAGGCATAAATTAGACCAGCGGGGTTCCCTATTTTTTCCCCAAGTGTTTTATCACAGAAGTCAAGCATGTATTTGTTTTTCAATAATTCAAAAATTGTTTTGTTTTGTTTCTTGAGACAGAATCTTGCTGTGTAGTCTGGGCTGGCCTTGAACTCATGGTAATCCTCTTCCTTCAGCCTCCCAAGTCCTGGTATTACAGGCCTGCACCACCATACCTAGCAATTCAAGTGTTTTTAATAATTTACTATTTTTCCTTGTTTTAAATTGATTATCCTTTTTGGTGTGTGGCACATGCCTTTAATCCCGGCACTCGGGAGGCTGAGGCAGGGGGATTGCTATGAGTTTTAAGCCAGGCTGAATTACATAGCAGACTTTGTCTCAAAAAAAAAAAAAAAAAAAAAAAA